TTATTTGAATGAATTATCTTAATTATTTTTAATTTTATAAGTGTTTTACACAGTCGCAAATTATTTGCAATTTAGTTTATTATTTTATTCTAAACAAGCAAACTACCATGGTGGAGAAACACTCATACTCAATCGACTGTTTAGCCAGATAGGTAAATTATGTTAATTGTAAATGAATATTAATTAATTTTAATAGGAATAGTCTAATTATTTTTAATATATAATTTAATGTATTTATTTAGCAAAATGGGGTGATTCAGAAAGTGATCTTGGTAGTTCCTATCAAGGTGTGCGACCAGTAAGCAATGATGGCAATATCAGGCGAGAAATTGAACGAGCTAATAAAGCGTGGATTAATCTGGGTGGTCTCGTGCCTAATAGCAACATGCATTACTGATTAAAATAATTAATTAAATGTTATATTATATTTGAGTACTTTACAATAAAAAATTGTTTGATTAAGTAAATATTTTGTTATTTATTTATTTGGTTAAGTCAACAATTAATATAAAAATCTCCAATATTTTTGTTTAGTTAATGCATGCAATTATTTTAGTCTATTATGGTAAATAACATAACACAATAACTTTGAAATAATGTAACCTTGAAATATTTAACTCGGGTTGGTTAATTGCATTTAAATAAGCATATAATTAATTATCAAGAAATATGACAATCAATAACTTTTAAATACAATTAGTATATAAAAGGTTTCTATAAAGCATTTGACATATAATTTGTCGATTACTAAAAACTTATTTCAACTAGACAATTCAATGCCAATATGAAACACCATAAAGTAACCATATTATTTATAAGCTTATTGATTGTATTAAATGGTAATGTTATTTAATAAATATAAATTTTATATAACATAGTAATAATAAATAATAATTTTAATTAATTATATATAGCTAACTATCATTTTACCGACGCTCAAATAGCCAGTAGTTGGTTTCCGAGTAAGTATAAATTAGTTTGATTTGAACTATTTGCAATTTAAAAGTGTACAATTTAAAATTTTAAAGATAACTAGGTATTAATTGTTAACATTATTTATGCAGGTAATACATTTACTGCTAAACAAAATGTTCAATACAGGCCTCCGCCTAAGAATGATAACTCCGTGAGTGGTGTGGACAGAGCAATGAAGTGGCTGTATATGGTCGGATAGTATTGGAGCTAGATCGTTTAATGAACGTGCAAACTTGAAAATATATAAATCAAGCTATGTTTTAATTTTAAAAGCAATGTATTAAAATAGATATTTTAAGTATTAAATTGCAATTGAAATAAAGTTGCTATTCATAGAAATTGATTGTAATGTTTAACAAGTGTACAATCGACATGAGAGTAATCTTGTACAATAGTATTTAATTGAATTTTAACTTTTTTTTTCTATGGGGGAGTATATGGGAGAGGGTTTTATATCGATTTCACCAAATTTGAGCGC